ATTTGGAAATGTGGGTGCCTGTGAATATTTTTAGAAAGTGAGTTATATTTTTTGGGGGGTGAGGCAATTGGGGTTAAGTGACTTGCCCAGGATCACACAGCTAGTGAGTGTTACGTGTCTGAGGCTGGATTTGAACTCAGGTCCTCCTGACTCCAGGGCCAGTGCTCTGTCCACTGTGCCACCCAGCTGCTCCATGTCCTTTTTTTTTTTATATAGATAATGAATCTATTCTTCTTATTGGGAGAGACTATCTCTTTATGTCATATACAAAGCAGACTTTCAAATATTTGATGAGTTAATAGTTTAATTAGCACTTAATAAGTACTTACTATGTGCTCAACACTGTTCTAAGCACTGGAAGTTCAAATAAATGAAGAAAGTCCCTGCTCTCAAGGAACTTAAATTGAAATGAGAAATACACACACACACACACACACACACACACACACACACACACACACACATACACACACATATATATATATATATATATATATATATACACATATATAAATGTCAAATTTATAAGAATATGATTCATACCACAATTGATAAATAGTCAAGGGATATGACCAGGCAGTTTTTTGATGAAAAAAGTCAAAACTATGGATAATCACATGAAAAATGCTCTAAATCATTATTGATTAGAGAAATGCAAATTAAACAACATTGAGATATCATCTTACACCCATCAGATTGGCTAAAGATAGATGTCCTTCAATTAGGGAATGGGTAAACAAGCTGTGTACATATGATTGTGATGGAATATTATTATAATATGAGAAATGAGGAATTAGCTGATTTAGAAAAAAGTGTGGAAACACTTAAATGTCTGAAGGAAGATACTATCCACCCTAGAGAAAGAACTGACAAAAAGAAATATGCATAGTAATGTCTTACATATATGTGTATTTGTGTGTGTGTCTTCATGCACACACATGTGCATGTGTGTTTGTTTACAGATATTTATGTATATATATACATATATATATGTGTGTGTATATATGTATATATATATATATATGTATTTGCATTTAATTGTAGCCTTCTGGAGGGAAAATAACGTTTTTTAAAAAGGAAAAAAAATCAAATGGGAGAAAACACATAAAAGGAATCTGAAAAAAAAGTGATGGGGAAGAAAATGGTACCCCTCTGCGAATTGTAAAAAACTCCTGAGTACAGCTCGGAATGAGATATAGCTGGTCTGAGCACCTTCTTTAAATGGAAGTTTTGGGAGGATCTATCCCATTAGGGGAAGAGGTTTCAGAGGCAGAGAATCTTTCAACATGTGAATGTCTGAGATGGAGTGAGGCTTTGGGATGGTAGAGGAAGTCCAGAGCAAAGCCTGGAGAACAGGACCATTCATTGATGAATAAATCACCAGATTTAACCCTGAAGTTCAAAGAGTTTATCAAGCCAAGGGTAGGATCTAACTAAAAACTAATATATGGGTCAGAGAATTGTCACACATGGAGAATGGTGTCCACTCATTTTCTTTTTCTTCCTGGGTTACTTTTTCAATATTGAACCATAGCATCTGGGAGCTGGCTTGGATTTCCTAGGTGATCTTGTGCTCCTATACCCAAACTGAAATCTCTTCTCTAGTATTCCCAGTTGGCCATTCAATTTCTACTAGAAGACCTTCTTTGAGAGGGAACTCATTGTTTTTCAGTTCAGCCAGCCCACTCCCCTTTAGGACTGCTCTGATTGTTAGAAAGGTTTTTTTTCTTCCCCTTGTAATTTTTTTTACCTTTTCTAGCTGAAATCTGCCTCGCAACAACTTTCATCCATCGTTCCTGGTTTTGACTTCTGGAATCAGGTAGAACAAGACTAAAACCTCTTCCAAATGACTATCCTTCAAATACTTGAAAGCCTCCTATTATGTACTGTCCCATTCCTCCTATACCAAACAGATGCATACATAGATAACACATACATATACACACATACAATCCCATGCACTGTCCCCATCTAAATCTTTCCTCCAGGCTATATTCTTTGGTGAATTCTTATAGGTGATGGTGTCAGATCTCCTAATCTTCTCCTAAGGATGTTCCAGCTTGCATTATTTTTCCTAACAATATGCAATCAAGAACGAATATGATATTCCAAAAGTGGTCTAACCAGAGCAAAGTACAGAAGAATCATGATCTTCCTTTATAGGGAAAAATTTAAGATCCATAATGTAGCCTAAGCTGATTTTAGTATTATTTTGGTTGTCATGCCACAATGTTTGGAGTTTTTAATCTACTAAAACTACTTAATGTTTTATTGAAAAATCAAATGCTAGAGTCAGGGCTCAAGATTGCCCTCCCCCAACCAGTTAACTTAAAGAGGGTTATCCTCCAAACCAGCTATTTTGTTAACGATTTTATCCTTCTCCCTAATAGTTAAGATTTTGTTCTCTTAGGGAAGTTAGGTGGTACAATGGATAGAGCACCAGCTCTGGAGATAGGAAGACTTGAGTTCAAATCTGGCCTTAGACACTTGACATTTACTAGTTGTGTGACCCTGGGCAAGTCACTTAACCCCAATTGCCTCACCCCCCTCCCAAAAAAAAAACAAGGCTTTGTTCTCTTGTAGCTGAAAGGCAGTGTGACAGTCAATAGAATATTCTACATGGAACTAGAAAACTCGGTTCAAATCCCACATCTTAGGTGTCACCTGTGCAACTCAGAAGGCTTTCTTCTAACCTCTCTGAGCCTCACATTCCTCATCTGTAAAATAAGGGTGTTGGACTTGATGTCTTTAAGATCTTTTCCCTTTCTAAGTTTATGATATTTCCTTTGGTATAATATAATTAGGGGACCAAGGACAACTCACCTATCCTTTCAGGGTCTCCAGACAATTCTAAGACAGAGGTTGTTATCTTTTATGTGTCATGGACCCTCCCCTAATTCCTACCCAACCCTACAGCAGTGATTCTTAAATACATAAAGTGCATAAATTTCAAAGGAAACCAATTATATGGTTATTTAAAACTCCCAGCATTTTTAAGTTCATAGATCCTAGGTTAAGAATCTTGCTTTAAGACTATAATGCATGCTGGACTGGAATCTATGGATGGGGTTTTCCTGAAGTTCTCTTATACTGATCGAATCTCAATCCTGGAAGCACCACCACCACAACACATATGGCAATTAAAATGTGTTTTTGCTTAGTGGTGGTGTACATTCTGGTGAACCCCTTTACACAATGTGAGATTAGTTTGCTTTACAAAAGCTATGCTATTTATTTTGGAAAACTACCCAAAAGGCTCTCCTTCCAACCACTGCCATTCCAGTCAAGAAATGCAAGGCATGTTGGCATCAGCCTGCCTGCTGTTTCTGTGGCTGATGATAATACCCCCAAATTACATTAAATATACAGCAAAAAAAAACCCTTTAAATAGTGTTGCAGCCAGACTCAGATGGTAGTGGAGTGTCCCTTTGGGATACTGGAGAGGAGATGGCTTTGAAAGTTGAAAAGAAATAACAACGATATGAAATATTGCCCCACGGTGGCAGCTGCTATTGCGTGTCACACTGCATGTATGGAAGGGCAGGAGAACATTATTTAAGCAAGTGGACTCTGGAGACAAATAAGTTCTAGGAGCCTTACATCATTGTGGGAGCAGAATAGACCCATTACAACCCAAGTAGGGTGGAGACTGTCTACAGCTGGTATAATGTGACAGTGTACTGAAATTAAATCCTAAGTGTATTAAGCTAATCAAGTAATGAGAATGGTGACTTTTACTTTATTTAAAATCTGCACCAATACAGAAACTAAAACAGAATAAAGCGAAACATTACCAGCAGACAAGTTAATCCATCTGAGTGAGACCTTGTTGTATTTTTTTTCTCTCTCTTATTCCTCTGCTGGAGATAGAAAGACTTCTCACTTCTTCTGTACCCTACAGAGGCGTATGTAGGTGGTGTGTAAGCTGTTGCAATGCCCAAGGACTGTGGGGCTGGCAGATTAGAGATGGTGCTGGGAAAGCCGTGGAAGGAGGCCAGGATCTGAGGCGTTATAAGAACATGGTGAAGGGCTTTGAATGTCTGTGTTATTGTCTCTTTCAAGAAAAGGGCAAGATTTCTGTGAACTTACACTGGGCTATCTTTCCTTACTCTCTGTCTACAAGCTTTCTTTTTGCCTGGTACTGGGTCCCTTGATCAGAGTGAGTTGCTTGTCAGTCATGTATTTCCATGGACCTGCTCCCAGCCAGGGATATCTCCTTCCCCCTCCAAGCCATATAAATATTTGCAGGACTTCTAGAAGTCTGCCTTCTTGGCCTGTTGTGGTTAACACAAATACTGCCTGAGGCTATTGTAAGCTTCCCAAGTCCCTGGCTTCTCCATGGTGAGAGGCTGAATCTACTGATGGAAAACTCCTTTTTAAAAAATAAAGACAGCCGAAATTTTACAACACATTCCATACTGATTTGCAGCAGCAGCCTGCAAAGGTAGCTAATGTGCAAGCCTGTTGTCATTATCTTTTTTTCTAGACCTTGAAATTGTCGCAACTCATGAAAATTGGGCCTATACTCTGTTCATAACCGTGTCTGAATCACAAATTGCCTAGGGCCTGGGTCCTGGAATCATAGGCAATAAAGATATGTTCCCACCAGTGAAAAATCAATCTTTCCAACCCAAAGAAAGGCAAGTCCTTTGCTCTTTTAGAAAAGCCACATTAGCAATGAATATAACAAAGACTGCATGAACACACTGAGCAGGCTGGCTATGTGTTACTTTGCCATTGCAGGTACAATGAATGAATTCCATAAGGACAACTATTAGGGTCATATCCTTCTAAATTATATATCAAATTCAATTAAATTCAATTTAATCCAGTCCATTGCAATTCAGTGCTTAGCACAGTGTCCAATATTTGATTGATTTACCAAGTGCCTACTAAGAGCAAAACAAAAGCAGTGGGTTAGGCTTGGGGTGGTAGATAAAGAATAGGCCTTACAAACAGGAATTCTTACCTCTGAATAATACTGTCTGTGTGATCTTGGGTCAGTCATTTAACATTTCAGTGATATGAGCAGCTCTCTAAGAATATAAAATGCAGACCAGATAAAGGAAGTATCCTCCCAATAGCGATGAAGTTCTTTATACCAATTAAATCACATGTGTTATTGTTTTTTCCTCATTTTTAAAATATACAATGCACTATCCTAGGCACTGGGGAAAGAGAAATAGAATTCAGAGAACAAAAGAAAACTTACAAGGAACAAAGATGGATAACTCTGAACAAAACATGTAGTATTTATTCTTCTTATCTTATTGTGCATTGTTTTTGTATTTAAGTTTAAAATAAATTAATTTTAAAAAAAGAAAGAGAGAAAAAAGAAAAAAAAATCATCCCCTGTCCTCAGGGAACTTACCTGCTTGAGGAGGGAGGAGAATGATACAGTATAACAGATAAGTATATATAAGATGATTCAAAGAGGAAGGGAGTAGCTTTAAAGGCTAAGAGAATAAGGAAAGGCTTCTCACAGGAGATGGCACACGAGCTGAATCTTGAAGGAAGCTAATAGAGAGGACCACTCAGGCTTGTAGAGAATCCTACACAAAGCCATGGAGGCAGGAGACTGAGTGAAGACATTAAGAACATAAAATAGGCCAGCTTGATTAGGCAGAGCTGATTTAGCATAAACATTGCAGTCAAGCATGAAACAATACACAATAAATTTTCCAAACTTTCCATTAAACAACAACAACAAAGTATGAAATACAGACTGCCTGAGAAATACCTATGCCTTTGATAGAAAAGGTAATTTTGGGAGGTTTAGGCAGTGAGACTTAATGTGGGGATGAGGAAAGGGTTAGTTGGGTTTTGGAGAAAGCTGCCGGATGTAATTATTTCTTCTATAACTATTTTAACCCACTTTCTAATGTTGATGGATCTGTGATCTCAACCAATCAATCAACAAACATTTATCAAACTCTTACACATGCCAGGCACTGTGCTAAGCACTGGAGATAGAAAGATGAAAGTGAAACTGTCCCTACCCTCAAGGGGCTTACATTCTAATTTAGGAGACAACATGCATATGCAAAATAGATACAAAGAACACATGAGTTAACAGTGAATGGAAAGGCACTAGTAGCTAAGGAAACCAGAAAGGTATCATTTAGAAAGCCATCCTTGATCTGAATCTTGAAGATAATCACGGTTTAAAGAGACAGAAGTAAAGAACGAGGGCACTTCAGGCATGGTGGAGAGCCACGGCAAAGCCATAAAAATGAGTGATGTCAGGTTTTGAATCTAGAATAGCAAGTAGGCTAGAACAGGTATTCCATCCCTCCAATGATACAGATTGCAACCCATACACTCTTCATCCTGGACAACTCTTGTGCATGCCATCCTGTAAATCTTTTCTTCCAATGTGCAGGGGACCTTCTTCTAGATGTCTTGAGAGTGTGTGTTGACCAATGGAGCACAAAGGGTATACATTGGCTCTCTATCCCATTTCAAACTGCTGTCAAAGTCCTCTTCTATACTCTCTCCAAGATATTTGCATTTACTTTTAAGTTGTAGAAGACTATGGATTCACATAAAGAACTGGTTCATTTAGAGAGAACAATGATTTTCCATATCCTTCTACACAGAAAATTAATAAGGACATGGGTAGGAGAGTAGACATGATGACCAACACTGTGACCAAAAACCATAAAAACAAATCCAGTGGGAAGCAATATGAGCTAACATTTATATAGCACTTTAAAGTTTGCGATTTATTTCTTCACAGTATCTGTAAACACTGGAGCAAGTTACTTTCCTAAGGGAATCTGGAGAGTTCTTTAAAAAAAAAATCATACAGGCAAACATATTTCTTGAATGCTCTGTCCATGTAGGTGACTCTTGCTGGGAGTTTTCCAATGGAATATTGCCAAGTCCTTTCATATACCCCCTTCAGTACAGAACCATTAAAAACGATACCTCATGAACAAATTTCAGTGTTAAAAAAAAAAAGAAAGAAAAAGAAAACTACTGGAATCATTTAGCCTCTGTCCACAGTCTCTCTTCTTCCAGGGAAGAATAGACATTTTCTGGGCCCATTTTGACTTACCTGTTGGTCCTGCTTTTGTTTTGCTCAGGGTTGGTGAGGAAAGGCATGATTTCTGAAGGGTCTTCAATCAGGAGCCTGGATGTATTTTGCTACCATGTACTCCCTCTAGCACTTGGCTTTTAATTTCTACATCTGAATTATGAAATGCCACCTCTACCAGCCCGCTGCCAGGAGCTGGGAACATTAATATTGATGTCCAGAAAGGTTTGCAGTGCTGCAGCAGGGTGATTTAAACAGGAGAATTATCAGGGACAGCACGAGAGTAAATAAATCTAAAATTCAATTTGTTTTTCCTTTTCTTTCACCCAAATTTTCTTAAAGGAGAATATGTATATAAATTCATATTCATATACATGTGTATACAATATGTATACAAATATATCTTTATGATCTATGTGTATATATACATATGTATTTATGTATACTTATCAATATGCTATGTATTGTACTGCATGCTAACATAATCTCCAAACTAGTTAAGTATAGTATTTTAATATTCCTACCCACCCACTCTAAATTCTACTTCAGAGGCATGTGGTCAAAAAAGACTACAAGGAGCTGGGTTGCATCTCCAAAAATCAAAGGAAATCATAGGCTGGCAGATGAGCAAGAAGAGGGAGGGGCAGGCAGGGCAGATCTTGACAGGGTGCTCTTCCCCAACAGTTTTTTACACTTGGGTATCACCACCCCATTAGTATACACCGGGCAAACTGTTGTTTGTGATGTTTGGGAACCATCTGCCGAGCCTGAGGCAAGCTTGGCATTAAAACCCAATTTCCTTTTGTGACCTGAAATGAGGACTAAATTTGGTGGTTCTGACTGAATTCCATTCTGAAATGTGGAGGGTGGGGAAGAGGAGTTTAGAATAAAGCTCCTAGGGTGGGAACCGAAATAAAGAAAGAGCCCTAGGAATCCAATGCAAAAAAACAGACCCCCTTCAAGATTGACGCAGCTGTCATTATGCTCACAAACCAGGCTTATCCCCTGATAGGAGGACTGATCTCAAATCTGCTTGCCCAGATCAAGCTTAGCAGAGCATAGCTTTGCTTGATTATTATTTTCAAACATGGCTTTAGCTAACTCTGTTTGATTTTCCATTGGGAACACAGGTTGGGAACTTTTGTACCCAGAGAAGAAGCATTGAGGTTCTTGTTCTCAGGAAAGAGAGAAGACCTACTGAGATTTTACCCCAGTCTATTCTCTGTCTCTGTCTCTCTCTGTCTCTGTCTCTCTGTCTCTGTCTCTGTCTCTCCCTCTCTCTCTCTCTCTCTCTCTCTCTCTCTCTCTCTCTCTCTCTCTCTCTCTCTCTCTCTCTCTCTCTCTCTCTCTCTCTCTCTCTCTCTCTCTCACTGTTGTGCTCTCTCACTCTCTCTCTCTTTCACTCTCATTTCTTTGTTTTCCCTCTCATGTCTTGGGAGAAAGAACATAATTTGTCTGTGTAACTTCATCTTCCATATGCTCAAAAGAGGGGAGAGAATAGATCCTTGGTTTAACATACTTGGTGTTTTACAGATTAAAGTGCTGTATAAATGGGAGTTATTTGTATTAGGATCATTATTGACATCACAGGGGATAAGGACTGAATCTGTTATTTCATTGGTATAGAGTTCCCAGAAGAGAAAACTTCCTTTACCATTGAAGGCTGGTCCCTTCTCTGCCAATTTTAATAACTAACATTATTATATACATATTAACATTTATCACATGTTATTTATATTATTATTATATTATTTATTATATTTATATCATTATATATTTATTTTATATTATAAATTTATATTTTTATACTATATTATTATTTTATATGATGTTATTTATTATATACATGTTAATAGCTAACATTTATATAGCACTTACTATGTGCTAGGCATTATATTAAGTACTTTACCATTATTATTTCATTTGATAATAATAGCTAACATGTTTATAGCACTCATGTTATCCCAGGCAGGATGCTACTAAGTGCTTTACAATTACTATCTCATTCGAGCCTCACAAGAACCCTGGGAGATAAGTGTTATTATTACCCCCATTTTACAGATGAGGAAACTGTGAGGCAAACAGAGGTTAAGTGACTTGCCCAGCGTCAGACAGCTACTAAGTTATCTGAGGCCACATTTGAACTCAGGTCTAACCTGATTCCTAGCCCACAACTCTAGCCACTGTGCCACCTAGCAGCCATTCGAATCTTAGAGCAGTGCTATCCAATTAAAATAGAAATGTGGGTGGGGGTAGAGTGGGGAGGAGGATTAGTTCACACATAGCTATCCCTGCAGGTTTCATATTGATATAGTCTTAAAATATAACGTTATCTATTCTTTATCTAACTATCTATCTATCCGTCCATTTACTCCTTCACCCATTTATTTATCCATTTATTCATTCACTCATTAGTCAGTTGGATATTTCCCAATTACATTTTAATCTGGTTTAGTTTCACTCAGGAGGGTTGTGGCTACATTTTTAACAACTGTCTTAGAGTTCTGTCTAGATCATTGAGAGATTAAGTGACTTTCCCAGGGTTGCATAGCCAGCACGTGTCAAAGCTGGAACTTGAACTCAAATCCTATATTGACTTTGAGGCCAGCTACCACTACCCCACATTGCCTTATATTAATAATATTTCTGTCACTTAAAGGGTTGCCCCATATTTCATGTGTTTTTTTTTGGGGGGGGGGTTAGGCAATGGGGTTAAGTGACTTGCCCACGTTCACACAGCTACTAAGGGTTATTGTGTGTCTGAGGCCGGATTTGAACTCAGGTCCTCCTGAATCCAGGGCTGGTGCTCTATCCACTGCGCCACTTAGCTGCCCCACATATTAATGTGTTGGGGTTTTTTTGCCCCATACTTCAAATCCACGATCTCATTAGATCCTTATAAGCAACCCTGTGAAGTAGGTGCTATTGTTATCCGTGTCTGAGGATCAGAAAGGTTGTGACTTGTTCCAAATTGTCACATCCAGTTAATACTGTGAGAGCTGGGATTTGAACAAAAGTCCATCCAGCATTCTTTCCCCTCCACTTCCAAGGGATGCATTTTCCCAACCTTGCCTTTTTAGAAATGTTGGTGCATAAGACTGAAAGGATATGCTAAGTACTGAGAGGACTGACAGGAAGAAGAAAAGGAAAGCTTGAAACATGATAAGGCTAATAAGCAGTGCAGCCCAGAAAAGCTGAGCTTTAAATTGAGAGTCGAAGAATCCAGAGGCTGGAAGGAGAAGAGAAAGCCCGAATATCATCAAATTGGCCAAAACAAGAGCCCTGGCAGCCTGAGCCCCGAACAACAAAAGGAGACAAAGTAATCATGGTGTCAGAATACAGAAAGACACAGCATCTGCAGTGTCGGACTTATTTGATCACAGATAAGTTGACGCCATATCAAGTTGCACCTGACATCTTCATAGTTATTGCAGAAGTGAACAGGTTGTTGCGACATTTGCAGGTACCCCTCTGTAATGCTTATTAGTAGTTACTTTAGCACCATCAGTCTCCAAAAGATAAACCGTGAAGTATGATGTACTGTTTTATGCATGACTGTTTTTTTTAAACTAATGAAAGTGCTTAGCCATGAGTTCTCTCACATCCTTTTCTTATTTTTAAATAATTTTTTTTTTGCAGGGAGGGAGGGTAGGCGCTACGCAATGGGGTTAAGTGACTTGCCCAAGGTCACACAGCTAACAAATGTTATGTGTCTGAGCCCAAACTTGAACTCAGGTCCTCCTGAATCCAGGGCCGGTGCTTTGTCCACTGCACCACCTAGCTGCCCCATTAAATAAAAGTTTTAATGATATCTTTAAAAAGAAAAATTCCTATTGCTTCCCAGTGAATCTCCGATAGAACTTTTTCTTCTAAGAAAGGAGAAGTCAAAGGACCATAGATAAAGGATTAGAGAGGGTCTCTGACAACATTTAACCTAGAATTCTTAACCAGGGCAGGCAGGTAGCACAGTGGATAGAGCACTGGGCCGAGTCAGGAAGACGCATCTTCCTGAGTTCTGGCCAGACACTTATTTGCTATATGACCCTGGGCAAGTCACTTAACCCTGTTTGTGTTAACTTCCTCATCCATAAAGTGAGCTGGAAAAGGAAATGGAAAACACTCTGGTATCGTTGCCAAGAAAATCCCCAAATGGGGTCACCAAGCATCTGACATGACTGAAAAATGACTGAATATCTTAACTTAGGGTTTGTAAGCATGTTATTTATAAATATATACATATATAACATATACCAGATTATTGGGGCAGCTAGGTGGCACAGTGCATAGAGCTCCAGCCTTAGAGTTAGTAGGACCTGAGTTCAAATCTGGCCTCAGATACTTGACACTGTGTGACCCTGGGCAAGTCATGCAACCCCGATTGCCTCAGCAAAAACAAACAACAACAACAACAAAAACATATCAGATTGCTTACTGTCTCAGGGAGCAGGTATAAGAATGAGGGATAGAATTTGAAATTTAAAACAAATGTTGAAAATTGTATTTACATGTAGTTGGGGGAAAATAAAATATTATTAAAAATATAAGAATGAGGGATAGAATTTGAAACAAAACAAATGTTAAAAATTGTTTTTATATGTAGTTGGGGAAAAATAAAATATTATTAAAAATAAATATATACAAATGTGTATATGTGCATATTTTGCATGTGTATATAAACATGAGAAACAGTATTGCATAGTGGATATATATTTGTAGATGTAGATGTAAATATACATATATATATATATATACATATATATATACATTCATGAGAGACAGTGCAGCATAGTGCATAGAGAGCTGGCCTCACAGTCAGTAAGATTTGAATTCAAATCCCATCCTTGACATATTTTGGCTGTGTGACCCTGGGCTCAATGCCTTAGTGTGCTAGGTAACATGTGCGTATATTTATGTATACGTATGCATGTGCATGTGTATACACATGGACATTTATGCATGTACATGGACATATACATATATGAAGAAAAAAGGGAAATATAAATATATAGATATAGATATCTATAAGTAAATAGATATACATATACTCAAATATATTTTAATGGAAGAGTATATAGAATTGCCTTCCTTTTTAATTCTATATATTTTACCTTATGTATTTAAAAACAATTTTCTAAGACAGGGTCTATAAGCTTCAGGTGATGCCATAGGGGTCCATGACACACATACAAAGAGTTCAAGAACCCTTGATTTAGTGTAACCCCTAATTTTATTGATGAGGAAACTGATGTCCCAAAGGATTAAATGTAAGGTCACAACAGTAAGTCTCAAAGTTGGAATTTAACCTCAGGTGTTATGACTCCCAGGCTAGCATTTTTTCCACCACCCTACCTTTCTACCAAGTGGAGGAACTTCACCATCCAAGTCATTTATAAAACAAAGAACTGACTTAGGACAAGATCGCCCCAGTGGTTGAAGCCATTTGTTATCTTCAATTTATTGAACAATTATTTGTTGTTGTTTTAATTTACTTTATGGAAGTCAAAATTGATAGTTAATAGTATTTGCTATGTGTCAGATGCTATGACAAGCACTGGGGGGAGAGAGAGACAGACAGACACACAGAGATAGAGACACAGAGAGACAGAGAAGAAGGAGGAAGGACAGGAAAGGAAAGGACAGGAAAGGACAGGAAAGGAAAGGAAAGGAAAGGAAAGGAAAGGAAAGGAAAGGAAAGGAAAGGAAGAAAGGAAAGGAAGGAAAGGAAAGGAAAGGAGGAAAGAAGGAAAGGAAAGGAAAGAGAGGAAGGAAAGGAAAGAGAAAGGAAAGGAAAGAAGGACAGGAAAGGGAAAGAAAGGAAAGGACAGGACAGGAACAGGACAGACAGGAAAGGACAGGAAGGACAGGAAGGAAAGGAAAGGAAAGGAAAGGAAAGGAAAGGAAAGGAAAGGAAAGGAAAGGAAAGGAAAGGAAAGGAAAGGAAAGGAAAGGAAAGGAAAAGGGAAAGGGAAAGGGAAAAGGAAAGACAAGACAACCCTTGCTCTCAAAGAGCTTACAATCTAAAAGGTGAAACAAACACACAAAACACAGCTGGAAAGGTGAGGGGTAGAGAAGGAATGTTCTTGGTGTGACAGAGGAGAGGAATGTTGGACAAGCCCAAAAAGTTTAAAATAAATGCAGCCAGGTGAGAAATAAGGAAATAGCTGAGGAGATGCCAGTCCTATTCTTAAATGGAGGAGTTTATGACTCCAATCAGAGGGGCAGACAGAACTGATGAGCTATGAGTAACATGACTGATTGGGTTTTGCAAGATGATATTTCCCAAGGATGAGTTTACTGGCTTCATGATAGAGAACAAGTCCCAAGGCCTGATAGGAAAGAGGAACTTTCAGTCTAGGTAGAGGTCACACATATCCTGCCTAAACCACATTTAGTGACCTACCTTACAGACCTTTGTTAAACAATGTCAGTGTATTTTGGTGATGCTGAGCAGGATTGTACCTGTAATATCAAAATTAGAAAAGATGTCATCAGTTAGACTCTATTTCTCTGCCCTATCCCTTCCCTAAATCTAGGATAGAAGCGCTGCATGGGTGCTATTTTTTTATTTGTAATTTTCTTTTGGTTATGTGTCTGAAAAGAAGCTTATTTTTTCTTTTCAATAAAAATAAAAATTTAAAAGAAAATTATGACAGGTTCTGATGAGAGAGTATTACCCAAGTCTCTTTACAGAGTTGCTTGAAGCCCTGATCTGTATACTTTTTGGACTTAAACTCCAGGGTTTCTGTTCACTCATTCCTTTCAAATTCTGATTCCCTCTCCAGCCATTTATTCCAAAATATAATACTTGCAACCACTTCATACTGCTTTAACCTAAATACCATCAGCATATGGGCCCTCCTTCTTGCTGTGGCTAACCCTTCTACTTATGGTTTAGATCCCATCCCCTCCTGTTTCCTTTGAGATATCAAGACAGAGTTCATCTTTGCCTCATGATTCCCTCCAATTTTAATCTCTCCTTCTCTATAGGCTCTCTCCCTTCTGCCTGCAAACACACTCAGGTCTTTTCTGTCTTTAAAATACAAAACCCAAAATTGATACATGCATATCACTTTCACCCTCACACTGCTCTGTCCTACCTTTTTTCTCACCTTCACTTTGAAACTTACAGAAATAATGATCTCCATACATTGCCCACTCACTGCTCAACTCCATCCATTCTAATTTATCTTCTCTCTCCACTGTTGAAACTGTTTTCTTCAAGTTTAACCGTGACCTCCTTGCCAAATCCAATGTTCTCTTCTCTTTTTTTTTCACCCCCTGATTCTTCTACCACTTTTTTTTTGTTAACTACCCTTTCCGTCTTGAATCTTTCTCTTTCCATGTCTTCCATGACACTTTTCACTTCTGGTTCTCCTGTTACTTCTCTGACTGATGCTTTTTAGCCTCCTTTAGCATGAGATTTGAGAGTCAGATCTTGCATGTTTTAGCTGTGTAACTCAAGGTAAGTGACAAGCTCAATAAGATTTCAAATGAGAAAAGATACTTGAAATCATTTAGTCCAACCCTCTCATCTTACACATGAGGAGCTGAGACTCAAAGAAAGGGAGTAAGCATTCAGACTTACAAAAGTTGGATGGGACCTAAGAAGTCCAATCCTAACCTATGTAGAGTCTCCTTTATCATATCCCATTCCTCACAATTAGAATCAACATATATTTCAAATCAATAAGCATTTATTAAGTTCCTCCCATGTATCAGACACTGAGATAAGCTCTATGAACAATTCAAAAGGGAAATGGCTTGGCTTTGGTAGTAACAGGTTATGTTATTGGACATGATGTCTTCAAGCAGAGGTCAGATGGCCATGGATCATGTAAGTTGTTGTGGAGGATTCTTATAAACTGGACTCGAGCTGGACTAGCTTCCAACTTTACAGTTCTGTGATTCTGAGGAGGAGCCCATGATATCCCAAAGTAGTTCAATTTACTTGGGGAGTAGCTGGAGTGGTGGTAAAAGAGCAAAATGAATGCACTGTATATACTCATCTCTCACTTTTTTATAGTCTAGTCATTTCTTTGTAGCAGCTATGTCACATACTGGTTAGAGGACAAGACCCAGGGTCAAGAAAATGTAAATTCAGATCCAGCCTTACACACTTACTGGTTGTGTGACAGAAGCAGCTAGGTGGCTCAATGGATAGACTCAGGAAGTGGGCCTAGAGTCAGGAAGACCTGAGTTCAAACCTGGTCTCAGACACTCATTAGGTATATGACCCTGGGCAAATCACTTAACCAATGCTTGCCTTAATTCACTGGACAAGGAAATGGCAAACAACTCCAGTATCTCTATGCCAAGAAAACCCAAAAAGGGTCGCAAAGAGTTGGACATGACTGAATGACTGACTGAGCAATACCCATAAATAACAACAACAAAGTTGTGTTGTGTAAGTCTCTAAGCAAGACTCTAAGATTCTAAGCAAGTCACCTATATTTTCTCAACTTTAGTTTCCTCATATATAAAATGGGCATAATAATAGCATCTACATCATTAGGTTGTTATGAGTATAAAATGAGATAATATATAGAAAGTGCTTTGCAAACCTTAAAGTGCTAAGTGTTAATTAGTATTTTAATTCTATATATGGCCCATCTTTCCGCCAGTACAGTAAGCTCCTTGAGGCAGGGACTATGTTTCAAATGTATTTATTGTTCTTAATTGCTGACTACTGTCCGTATGGGTTTGTACAAAGAGTAGGTGCTTAATACAATATATTTTTGTTGAATGAATGATATTTGAGAATGCTTATTTGGGCAGCTGTTTTGGGATGGATTAGAATTGAATTGAAAGAGACTGGAGGCAGGAATAACAGTGAGAAGTTGCCAACAAAGAAGGAAACATTTCCCCTTTTTAACTTAGTCAGCAGCTCAGTGAATATATTGATTTGTTTTTTTAAAATATTAATTTCCCTTTAAAAATTTGTGTGAAAGACTAAACAAGTTGCACTTTTGATTTATTTACTCAGATGCAGTTCCTGATAATTCCACTTTTTAAATCACCCTGTTTCCACACTGCAGGCCCTTCCAAGTATTAATATTAATGTTCCCAGCTCCTGGGCTGGACTGGTGATAGTGACGTTTCAGAATTCACATGTGAAAATGGAAAGGATCTCACAGTTTCAGATCAAGTTGTCCTGTTGTCTGGGCCTGAGAAAAGGGAATCTAAAATATTCAAAGAGAACTAAGAGAAATACTTTCCAGGATTTAATGATAATATCTCCTATTACATAAAAAGCCCTTTGGATATTGAGTATAAGTTCCCACTTTGGGCATAATCATGTTTATAAGCAATTCAACAGACTAGAAAAAACACTGGCCTTGAGTTGAGAGGGAGACCTGGGTTCTTTCCCAATTCTGCTGCTAACTCAGTGTCACATTGAACAGGGACTTTCCTTTCTCTGGGTCTCAAGGTCCCCATTGCTAAAATGAGAAGTTTAGAAAAGATAATCTTTGGAGATCCTTCCTAGACCTAGAATACTATGGTTTTAAATTATGGTGCCTGTGGCATTGACCAGCTGAGCCTAAATACTGACTCCAGCTGAGCCAAGCAAGGATCATCACCCAAAGTCAAGGTCAGATTTATTTTTCAATTAACAAACATGTGTTAAGTGCCTGATAGGTGCCAAGTATTGTGGTTCCAATGACAAAATTGACATAGTTTCTTCAAAGCTATGGGATTTTGTTTCTTTCTTTTTTCACTGCCCTTCAGTATGAATTTGCTGAGTTTAGGGATCTAAGTTCCCATATAGAATCAGTGCTACTCCAATAGAGCCTCTGAGGAGGAACCACGTGTTGAGTAATTGAACACCAACCAGAGTCATTAACCTTTCAATTCCTTGGAAACTCCCCTGTGGATATATCTTATTTGGGTCACTAACACTAGCTCCAAATGCCAGAAATGTAAATGGTACTGAAGAGAGGGATGAGTGTTGGGACCATAAATCCACCACCAAAAATGAAAGCTAGTGTAGAACCTAACAAGGAAACGTAGTTCCATGAGGCATTTCCAGAAGGTGCAGCTCTCTTGACAATTCTGAGGTAATGAGGAAAATAGCACCTCTCTGAGAGTCACCGAAGTATCATTTAAAGGGAGTTATCCCCTTGTAAGTCAGTAATTGTTCCCATTTATTTTGTGTTTTAAGGTTTGCAAGGTGCTTTTCACCCATTAACTTATCTGAGTCTCACAAATACACTGTAAGATACATGCTATTATTATCCTCATTTTACAGATGAGGAAATAAAGACTAAGGGAATTTTAGGGCTAGTATTTGTCTGAAGTGGGATATGAATCCAAGTTCAATGCTCTAATCATTATTCCAAGGTACCTTTTTGTCAAGATTGTGGTAGAATACTACTGCGCCTTAAGAAACGATGATCTCGATAATCTTGGAAAAATATGGACAGACTGGCATGAAATAATGAAGAGCAAAATGAACAGAACCAAGAGAACATTGTATACAGCAACAGCAATATTGTTTTAAGGACAGCTTTTAGCAAATACGTCATTTTGGCTATTATAAATGCCCAAATTAACTACAAAAAACATACGAAGGAAGACACTATCTACATCCAGAGAAAGAACTGATAGATGTATAGAATGTGTTTACATATATGTGTATATACATATATGTGTGTGTATATGTATATGTGTGTATATACACATACACATATGTGTGTCTAATGGTAGCCATCTCTAGGACAAGGGTGGGGAGGTAAGAAAAAAGAAAGGAAAAAAATAAATTTACATAATAAAGTCATTGAATATTTAAAAAGAATAGCAAGTCGTACATAATAAATTTGCAGTTTGATGTGCAATCGTCTTTTCTTTTTTCAATACTCTCTTAAGGAAATGCTTGTTTTAGTTTGCAAACTAAAAATAAAATAAAATAATTTTTTTGAAAAACATTGAATCTTGGCCCTTGAAAACCTAGAAGCTCTCTTATTCTAGTACTAGAAAAATCTTTTATTTCAATGTTGTGGGTATAATATCCACTAATACATATTATAACCACTTATACCCTAGTAAATGGCATTGTATGTATATATTATATGTATGTGTGTGTGTACATGTTGTATATTTGTATACATACATATCCCTGTATATGTATATATTTATATATATGAATGCATACACATACATTTATAGATGTGAGTGTATATATATCATGTATATATATACAATGTATGTTAGCATATGTATATGTCCATTCATAGACAGACATAATTTATATTGATACATTTTGTTTTAATATCACATTCATTTCCAAATATATCTCTCTTCCTTCTCCCTCAGGGATGTGAGAAAGCTTTAAAAAAACAGAGAAAAATCAAGCAATTTGGCAAAGCCAAACAATATGTTGAGCAATATTCCATACTTTTAGCCCTGCCTCCCCCCACCTCTAACAAATGGTTTTAATAGCTGTTGTGGACCAAAAAAAAAAA